CATCACAGACAGATTTCCCAGAGATTCTTTAAGATTTGGACCAGGGAACACTGCTCAATGTTCTATCAATGTAGCCCAGAGAAACTTTGAGCTCAGGGAGGGTTCAGCCTAAATCCTGGCCACCATCAATTAGGATAATCACTTATCCAATTTACATAGTAAATACTCAACCAAATTTGCAATACACCTAATGTATTGTTAGAGACACCTTGATTCAGCTAGTTTCATGTGACTTAGTCACACTGGTAGCACCCAACCAACCTGGAGTTGGATTGTCCAGTTAGTACTTGTATGGGAAATCAGCAGGAATCCTAGGGCTATAAGCTAAAGCAGGAAGTAAAAAAATGTCCCAGAAATTACAGCAGACCATTGCCAAGAAAATGTACTGACTTTAGTTCCAGTAAAACAAGTTACTAATGAGCATCGTTTAACAGACTTTCAATTAGGCTATACATACACTGTCATGGGAATTACCATTTGAAAAGAGCTACAGGTGAGTGGTAAATATATGTATTTTATAGTTCAATCCCAGAAGGGTCCAATCTAAAAAGGATGGCTGCACAGCAGGACAGGGCAAAATAATTATTAGAATAACATGTGGATAAATGGCCTGATTTAGTAGAGGTCTGTTACTGAACAAAAATCATATAGTACCAGTTTTGTCCATATGAAGAGCAGGACCACACGTTCTCACTACTCCTTGTTAGTTACTGAAAACTTTGGTATCTATCATCTCTCTTCTCTCAATCTATCATCTATATCTATCCATATCTATCATGTATCTATCCATCTATCAATCTATCTATCCATCCTATCTACAATCACTCATAAGAAATTATTCCCTTCTTTTTTCAATAGAAATCAAAGAAGCTGTATAATGAAGACCTTCATTTATTTTTATTTTGGGATATACTGTTTTATGATGTTGCTCATATCAATTTCAAGAGAGTGCATGAGCATTAAGTTTTGATGTGGAGTGATGTGATTTGAGCGTGATCATATTTTGAGGGAACAAACTCTATGGATTATCTCCAGTTTATACTTTGTGAAATCAGTTTTTTTTTTCCAGGACTAGATACTCTAATTCAGAAATGATTCAGCAAACTGGCCATAAAAACTATACAAGACATTATGAAAAACAGAAATCTTAGTCACGGTAAAATAAGATTTTCAACACAACTTTTTCTACATTTGTTCTTATTCTATAAGATTAGCATGAAATGAAACAAGTGCCTATGGTTTCACGTAGTTTTGCAGTAATGGTTTGCATTGTAGAATTATTTTTTATTTCACATTCTTTTGTGACTATTGTTCTCTGAAAAACAATTTTTTCAACATGCAGATCAAAAAATTAAACCCAAGCTGGGAGAAGAAGGTTTCATTTATTAGAGTTCATTTTTCCCTGATACACTGAAACCAAAATTCCATCCTTCAGGAGATGATTACAGACACCATAAGAGAAACCCTACATTTATCTTCTTTCCCCAAGAAAACGTGCTGACTGGCAACCCTGCTAATTAGAACTGCCACTCTCAGGTTGTTTAGCAAGCCACTCCTGATGTGGGAGCTGAGGAAGCTGGCCCCAATAAACTCAAAGGGAAGACTGTGGTTTCTTCATTTTCAGAGGTTTAAGCCACAGGTTCAGAATGAGCAGCCCTTGTCACTTCACATAGCCTTGTTACTGGACATAAGGAGTGCTGAGGCTGGGCTATTGGGGAAGTAACTAGGATGAGAAATGTTTCTTGCATCAGTGAACTTAACATTGATTGTGGGCTGTCATGATTTGGGGACTCTATGAGTGCCTGCTTTTAACAAGGAATCATGCCACATTGCTCTCTCACAACATTATCAAAGACAGCAGAACCATTCTTGCTGTCCATAATATACCTCTTGAAGATCTCTGTAGCACTTTTAAAATAAGGCAGGTATTCAGGAAATCAGCAAGCTGCACCCAAAACATGTTGGGATAATACTTGGGTAAAGACCAAGAATAATTCATTTATGTGATTATAAATTAGAATTTCTGGTGCAAAGGTGGTCAAGGTGGGATTATTCAGTAGTAAGGAAGTGGATACAACCATCACGGGCAGAACAAGAAAGCTTGTTCCTCTTAGCCTTCTCTCACCAACCACAGGGTATTTTTATCCTGTTTTCTAATTGTGCAAGTTGTATATATCAATTTTATCCCACTTTTTTTTTTAAACTGTTAGTTGCCTTGAGTATTATTTTGGATATAAATTCAAGAATTAAAACAAATGTTAACAGGTTGTTTCTATATAGAGTATGGTAGCATATGAACTAGACAAAATATAAGAAGAATAAAGCCCTGGAAAATTTTCATTGAGCTCCACCAGTTTTTATGAAATTCCTTGCAATTCTTAAACAAAGCAATGTAGTCAAATGCAACTTAATTACTACAACCATGTACTGTTTGAAAGCATGAATTTCTTCTTATAATAATACTGTCATACAGTAATAGTCTTTCACTTAGGTGCTAGGTTGACAGGTTTCTCTTAGAGACCACGTTTATAGCTTTAAGAACTATAAACATGGTCTCTAGGATTACCCTCTGCCTTCTTATGGCTCTTCAGACATATGAGCTATACCAGATCGATCCCCCCCCATTTTTTTTTAGGCATCTTCTGCAATATGGCAATCTCCAGTTAGGTTGAGACTGCAATAGTCTGAATGTCTAGATTCCACAGTCTTCTAAAAGTTGCAGTCCTGAAACATCTGGGAGGCACCAAACTGTGGGGGGATATTCTGCGTTGATGTTCTAGTATGCAAGAAATCTTCTGCCTTGGACTTTTTGAAGGAGCACAACATTCTCAATCTGGGATAATTTTTTTCCCCTCCTTCCTGTTTTTCAGATTTTTTTTCCTCCTAGAGTGTCTTCAAGGGCTCACCTACACCAGCCTTGGAGACATCAAGAAAGCTAAAGACCTTTAGTAGACTGTGGGTAAAACAGTTGTTTCTCATCATTTCTGTTGCAATCTGATACACTGCGGAGCAGATTGTTGGCCCTGAGTGGAAAGGTAATTGGGTTTGACATGTGCTCAATGCTACCAGAAATGCCCACTTAACTTGTAAACTACCTCTGATTAAATGTGCCTGATGTTAAGAAGAACCTTTTTAATAAATGCAAAGGTTAAGCCCTATTGTTAGCCGGCACATGGAAAAGCATTGGGTCCTATGCACCAAGTTTGGGGATTATCACAGGATAATAAGGAAAAGTAAATGTGAAGGGAGCCTCAAACTCCTTAACATCATAGTCCAATAATTTATCAGTTTCATAGTCCCTGAGTGTTATGCTCTCTGGGGGACCCTTGAAAAGAAAAGGATAATCTGAGGCAATCTGGACCCAGTTGTGCATGATGAAACACAGCGTGAATGACTATGTTGCAGCAGGTACCAGCAAGGGAACACGTGCATGATATGGATCATAGAATTCTCCTGTAAGCTCTTTCCATGCAGTTGGGTGTATAATGTTTTGACAGGAGCAGTGCACAGTGTTTGACAAGTTATTTTAAAATGCTTGAGAGAGTCAAAAGTGGTTTATGGTGCAGTGAGAAGAACTAAAATCAAAGGGGGGGGGGCTCTTTGCAAACATCCACAGCCCTCTCTGATTCATAACTATGTTTTATACTCCATCACTGACTTTCCTGCAAGAATACCAGATTCTGATGACAAACCTCGGGGGATGACTGCCTTTTTAGTATCCTGTCTGAGCACTTTCCCAAAGATTGTTAAATGCTCCACTACTTTGAGATTCAGCAAAGACATGACCTTCCATAAAGCATGTCACCTTTATTCTCTCTTCATAGGAACACATGTGAGATTAAGTGAAGTTAGAGGCTCTAAATTTAAATTAGCCTTTCCCAAACTGCCACCCTCTAAATGTGGGAGCTATGTTGGGGAAGGTTGCTAGACAATGACTGGGGTTATGCCAGACCTGTGAACTGAATTCCTCAACATTTGGTAATTGGCAGCTTCACATCAGAACATCTTGGAGAAAATGTTTCTTCTAGTACCAGAATGTAGGCTTGTTATTTTTGTTTCTTTTTATAGAAAAATGATCCATTTTCATCATTTCATTTTTCTTTTTTTAAAAAGAGGCTACTTCTGAAAGCCATTACTTGTCATAAGTTTCTAAGCCAGCATTTTCTTTCCTGTAATCATCCCTTTAAACAAGGCAAAACCACTAATTTGACCCTGTCCTGAGGAGTCTCATGAAGAGAGGACAAGGTAGCATGTGGTCTAATAATAATGAAAAGAACAAATTCCTCTTGTTTCCAGGAATTTAGGGTCCCCTCCCCTTTAGTGTTCTGGACAACCACCCAGATTTGATATCCTCTTCAGAAATCTCTAGCCACAGTCTCATTTATAAGGTGAAAGCCTTGGTAGCCCAGAACAGGAAAATAAGGGTTTTCAATCATTCTACTGGAGATCATATCTGGAAATTTTTGTATGCTTCACTGCAACAATCACAAAAGTTGAAGCTATTGCCTCCTTTTTACAATCAGAAAAATGCAAAGCACATTGATCTTCAAATACCTGCCTTGTTAGAGAAAGAATTAAGTTTATTTTTTGTAGAATCTGCTCTTTGATTGCTTCCGTTCCCCCCCCCTTTTTTTTCTTCTTCTTCCCAAACTGACCAAATGAAGGCAGGACCGGCATTATCCTTGTAGTAGAACTGGACAGTTTACCATGCAAAGATGAAGAGCTATTCAAGTTAATCTTCATACTGCAGATCTATGGGCAACCTCTCTTAGAAAGCAGCCAAGTGCTAATAATAATAGCATTACAAGATGGTTTGGTGGTTATTTTTGTTTGAGTTATTTTAAAAGCCATACAGTTGTAACTAAAGAGTTCTTTTTTTTTTTCTCAAAAAGAAAGGGAAAAAATGACACTTGGCATAAATAAATAAATTAACAATCAAACAAACAATACTTTAAAGAATACACTGCTAGAAGAAAAAAGGGGACTCCCCCCAACAAATATATATTTATGACATGCAAGAGATTAAAAGAGAAGTGTTCTGAGTTTTCTCATCCAAAGCAAAATCAGTACTAAAAAATAAAACAAAAAACAAAAAACAAAACAAAATTACAGGAATTGCAGAAGAAAGCTCAGATTCAATTTGGTTTGCAAATACCATGTTTCGGAAGCATTGTGTCTAAGGTATTTTGTATACCATCAAAAGGCACCAAAGGATTGACTCAGCCAAATCCGTAAGAGGCCATTTGTGGGGAATCATGAAGGCAGGCTGCAGCATGCAGTAGTGTCCCTGGCCCTTCATGAATGATGAGTCGAAATGTTCCTGCTGCAAACCTGCTCCTTCTGTCTTGTCTTTGTTCTTCCTGTCTGAGGCCCTTTCCAGATAACAACACAGGGCTTTCTGCCCTTTAGTATAAAGCTGCACTCGCCTGCATTCAGCAACAGTAGCGCCGTCTCCTGTCCAAACGCAGTTGCATTCTTGGAAGGGAAACAGCTCTTCTATGCTGAGTGGGATGGGACAGGGCGGGACGGAACTGGGGAGGCTCACCTAATTCCTAAATATTAAAAAAAAGAATCTTGTTTTCAAAAAAGGACGGTTGCATTTATATTCCAATACTGGGACTGAAGAATCAACAGAATGGAACTAAATATAAGGGGAGAAGAGAAAGAGAAGGAAGTCAGAAAGCCTTAGATGGATTAGTCTGGCCTTAACGGTCCTCATCTGTTCCTAATGTCAGTAAGTTAGTGGTATGGCCAAAGTGAAGATGTATCGTAGGTCACCTCTGATGTCACAGACGCTACTCAGCAGGTGACGATGAGAGTTGTGCAACTAGACTTCATTGCACTTCCAAGGCAGTGAGTCCTTTAGTGGAAGGGTGAAAAATTGAACACGGTGTTTTTGCAGGCTGCAGCCTTATGGTCTTATAATCCAATGTGCAATCTGGGGCAAAAAAAAAAAAGGTGTACCTCTCATAAGAACTGAGTTACAGGAAAACATTCATTGTGTGGTAAATGTGCACAATAAATGATCATCTGGAAAGGCCCTGAGTTAATAAAAAGGAACACATCACTTTAAAAAGGTAAACGGTCAGTTACAAGAAATGAACCAACAGGAATCTTAACTCCTGTTTCCAAACAATACAAAAGAAAAGAAAAATCTCCAAAGTAATTTAAAAAAGAGAGAGAGCTTAATGCAATACATCTTTGTTTTATGGCCTTGGTTGAGTTTTTGTCTTTTTTGTAAATATAGTTGTATAATCTTACCTTTGTTCTAGATTACAAATAATCTTTGTAAAGGAGCTACATCTATCAGGAGTTACTGGGGAAAATGAAAGCGTACATAATTCAAGCTCACTGTTGTAGTAGGCAGCTTGGTCGCTCTCAGGACTTAGAATTCAATGGTTCCTAATGTGCTTTGCCAGCCCAATTTCTCTTATATTGGGGGGAAAGCAATAAATGTTGGAATCTGAGTGTTTGCCTCTACATAGTTAGTATCTGCAGAGGAATGATGAGAAAAACAAGGAGAAGAAGAAAACAGGACAAAAAACCCACAAAACTTTAAAAAACGTTTGTTTGCTAGTCTCCAGAACATTAGATTCCCAAGGAACATCTTTTCCCCCTCCTAGTTAACCTTGTCTTGAAATATATACAGGTTATTTGTTGCCGCCACTGCTATTATATTTTCTGAAGGATGCCAAGCTGTATGCAGGATCTTTTTGCTAAAGTCCAGACTGTCCACACTAATTTCGTCTTTCCTCCTTTTGCCCCCCACACAAACTTTGCGGGGCTTCAGGATGGCACGGGGTTTGCTGTTTTCTCTTGAGGCCTCGAGAGTCACATCACGCTTGGTGTTGCGATCAAACATTCTAAAGAAATTGTTGTACGAGCCAGTCATGATGACGCTGAGAAGCAAGCAAGCAAAAAAAAACAAGAGAGTCTCAAGTGAAATCCAGAACCTTGTTAATTTCCCTTCTTCTGTCAACCACACCGCATTTCAAGACAGTTCCAGTTTTGAGAAATACCCACCATATCGCCTCTCTAGGGAAACCACTACATGGAAACCACTGTGGGATGGAATAACTGAGGCTAAGAGGCAATTTGCTGGCTCTGTGAATGTCAACTGAAAAGGGGGCTATAATCATTCTCAGTAGTTAGGCCAGTTACAGCTGATGCATTTATGCAGTGAAAACAGTCTAACTCCTTCATTCCTGCAGTCTCCGCTTAATAAGATGAGATGGCTAAACAGGACAACACCTTCATAGGGCAGGTGGCATGGAGACAGCAGTTGGAACTCATCTCATCTCTTCTTATCATTATCTTGTGTATTCATCCCAATTCACAGAATCAAGGATGATGGTTTTTAAAAATCTCAAATAACAAAATAGTGAACAATTGAACAAGCACTAACCACCTGAAAGGAGGATGACGGTACATGGATACAAAGTAAAAGCTCCAGCAAACTCAACAGTTGGCATTCTATCTTAGGTTGCCCCCATAGATACCTGGATCAAGGCAACTGCCGCTTGGAAATTAGGGAGGATCCAAGTAAAACAACACCCCTTAGATTAGGCCATTTTTTTAGGACTGGTGGAGTCAGAGAAAAATTCCTGTCCACAAATCATAAGGAAGAATTGCAGGCCAATAGACTGAAAATGTAAAAACAAATTACAACGGCAAGCTAATTTCATGCTTAATTTTATGTTATAAATGAACAATATTTAAATCACATTTTAATTTTCTAATTGCCAATAGCTGAAAGTATAATGTTGACAAAAAGAAAATGCCAATTCTGTTAGCCATATTTTCCAAGGAAGAGTTAGGCAACTGTTATACAAGTCATTTCAATTTCATTTCTATCTCATAAATGGAGCCAATTAAATCTTGGCTTTGCATCCCTAGGTATTTTAGAAATTCTAATTTATGTTAGCTTGGGCAAGTTCCTTTGCATTTTAAAAACCCCAGAACTCATCACAATGTTTATGCTCCATAAGAACATCGTTAGGTTTGAGTCATTGTGTGAAGCTCATTTCACCATCAATCCTATGCTAACCAGGTTTTTAGGATTTGTATGCTTGGCCCAACATAAGCAGTGCTTATCCAGCTATCCTAACTTCTCTTCAAGATGCTCGCAGATGCCGTCTTATGTTAGTTTTCTGGATCACAAGAAGAGTTGACATTTGAACAAGTCATGAGGTTTATTATAGAGTGTTTTTCAAGTTTCATTTAATGATTTTTTTCATTAACCCCCCCCCCCCTTTCTGAAATGCATGAAGCAAAGTGCAGAAAAGATAAGAGTGGATGGATTTGAGGAATCAGAAAATGAAAAAAAAAAATCCTGCATATAACTCCTCACCTGTCTGACCCATTCCATACACATTCAAATTTATCAAAAATGCAGTCGTTCTCATAGAGGGAGCACAGCTTGCTGCGGAGGTAATCGTGAACCTAGGAGAAAGACAGACACAAAGAATAAAAGGAAAGTAGCATTCAGAAGGAACTGCATGCTAACATTTGATTCCAGCTCTAATCACAGATTCCAGAGGACAAGAGTTTGAAGTTACTAAGATTAGAATTTGGTGTTATTATTTTATCTTAGCTTCTACCATGTATGTTTTAATTTCAGTGCTTTAGTTTCTGTTGCTCTTACTACTAAAAACCACCAAGAGTCTATCTGTTACTGCAGTAGCTATAAAATTGAAAAATAAAAAATTAGTAAGTTATGTGTAGGCCAATTCAAAGATCTCACAGCACTAATAAATAAATAATGGGTTTGAAGCATTTTAGGATGTTCTCAAGAGCTG